CGGTTTCCGATCAATTAACTAAAAACGCTTAGGCCTAGGAACTTCAAACTTTGTGTATGATTGGTCATGACCAGCAGATGACCCCTATTGAGTTTTAGGTGAAGGGGTCAAAGGTCAAGGTCACATTGACCTTTTAAGTAAAAACGGTTTCTGATCAATAACTCAAGAACGCTTAGGCCTAGGAACTTCAAACTTGGTATGGTGATTTGTCATGACCAGCAGATTACTCCTATTGATTTTGGGATCAAGGGGTCAAAGGTCAAGGTCACAATGACCTTGTAAGTAAAAACAGTTTCTGATCAATAACTAAAGAACGCTTCGGCCTAGAAACTTCAAACTTGGCATGGTGATTGGTCATGACCAGCAGATGACCCCTATTGATTTTGGGGTCAAAGGTCAAGGTCACATTGACCTTTTAAGTAAAAAACGGTTTCTGATCAATAACTCAAGAACGCTTAGGCCTAGGAACTTCAAACTTGGTATGGTGATTAGTCATGACCAGCAGATTACTTCCTATTTATTTTGGGATCAAGGGGTCAAAGGTCAAGGTCACATTGACCTTGTAAGTAAAAAACGGTTTCTGATCAATAACTAAAGAACGCTTCGGCCTAGAAACTTCAAACTTGGCATGGTGATTGGTCATGACCAGCAGATGACCCCTATTGATTTTGGGGTCAAAGGTCAAGGTCACATTGACCTTGTATGTTAAAACGGTTTCCGATCAATAATAAGAGAACCCTTAGGCCTAAGAACTTTCAAACTTGGCATGGTGATTGGTCATGACCAGCAGATGACCCTATTGATTTTGGGGTCAAGGGGTCAAAGGTCAAGGTCACATTGACCTTGTAGGTAAAAACGGTTTCTGATCAATTTACTAAAAACGCCTAGGCCTAGGAACTTCAAACTTTGTATGATGATTGGTCGTGACCAGCAGATGACCCCTATTGAGTTTTGGGTCAAGGGGTCAAAGGTCAAGGTCATGACCAGTAGATACTTTATAACCCTTATTAATTGTTTGATCACTGGGTCAGACGTCATGCATAATAACCTTATCACATGACTAATTGGCTGCTGATAGGGGGCATACATGTTTTACAAACATATCTTGTTTACGTAGCGTAGAACAAATTTATTTGTTAATTATTGATTAGAACTGATATTCTTTTTATAATGGTCAACATAATGCTGATATTAAAAATTATTTGAAATTCAGAAATATTAACATATTTATGATGTGCAAAAGAAAATTTTGGACATGTGACAGGCTTAAAATTGCCTCAGGTCGATCTTAAGGTAACTAGTAAAAGACGCTGAAAAGCCTTTTACTCTATCTCAATTCATTGAGAAGTTGCATCACTTTGAAATCAGTTTTGATGGAAAAAAACAATCCAAAATAGTGATTTTTGGCAATTTTGAGACGTCCCCCCATTGCCATGGTAACAGGAAATTTACCATTGAGCATGCTGTTACAGAGGCTATGGTGTAGTCAACATTTGTGCCAAGTTTCATTAGTATTGAAGCATTTTTCATAGTTTTATAGCAGTTTGAACTTGTTACAGGAGGCTTTTCAATGAAAACGGCCATTTTTTCGCAATATGCTCATGGGGTAAAAGGTTAATTAATAAAAGGACTTGAAACAGTTTAAATGAACTGTCAGATTCAAGTTAAATTTGATGAGGATCATGCAGTGAGCCTGAGTAAATAAAACAAGTTGACTAACCTCTCAGGTTCATCAATTAACTGACATATTCATACAGATACAGATGTTCTGCAACAGTTTGAATTGCATTGCTTAAATTGTTGTAACATATTTTCAACATATTTGAAAAAGTTTTAAATTCAATATATCAGTACTGATGTCGTTCCCTTGGAGTTTAGATCAATATCAGCTGCAGCAGATCCAAAGCAAAGTTTAAACATTACCATGTATATTTAAACACACTAACATTTTTATGTAATGGAAATATTCCATTTCTAATGTAGTAGATGATGATTGTAGTCAAGCAATGTCCTTTGAAGTATTTCGCAACACTGATTAAGCTTTTTCTCCCCAGGGAAATAAAGCTCATGATTTAAATTCTGATACATGACTTTGCTTTTTGTCACAAATGAAGGTATTTCACAATTTCTATATTAAAGTACATAAAGATAAATGATGAAATGTTTGAAGTGTAAGAAATATTGGTTCTCAGAAAGACATTTAACTTGATGTAACTTACCATTGAATCACAGTGGTTAGATCTTTTATTCCTTGGAAAGAGATATTGTAAAATACAGACCTTTCAATAATTATGCCCCCACAAAGTGGGAGCATATAGCGTTGCACTTGTCCGTCCGTCTGTACGTCTGTCCGCACTCACGAGAGGGTATATGTTGGTACTGAATACCCAACAACTACCAATCCTACTCACTCCGTATGTATTGTTGGGTATTTTCTTTGAGTGTTGGGTACCTTTTTTACACAGTAAAATACCCAACAAGAATACAAATGTAAGAACGTCCGTCCGTACGTCCCGAAATCTTGTGAACGCAACTCCTCTTAAACCGGATGGCAGATTTTGCTTAAACTTACAGGGATGAACAACCTTAATGTGTAGATGGTAGTAAAGGAAAGAATTTTCGCTGCGACCAAATTTAACAGAATTGGTTTATACAGAATTTACTTTAGTTCGATTGTGCAAAAATAAATTCTGTATAAACCAATTCTGTTAAATTTGGTCGCAGCGAAAATTCAAAAATTTAACAGAATTATGGCCCTTTGTTGATTTTTTCACTATATACTATGTAGAAATTTTGTGAACGCAACTCCTCTTAAACCGGATGGAAGATTTTGCTTAAACTTACTGGGAAGAACAACCTTAATGTGTAGATGGTAGTAAAGGAAGGAATTTTTGCTGCGACCAAATTTAAGAGAATTATGGCCCTTTTTTGATTTTTTCACTATATACCATATAGAAATTTTGTGAACGCAACTCCTCTTAAACTGGATGGCAGATTTTGCTTAAACTTACAGGGAAGAACAACCTTAATGTGTAGATGGCAGTAAAGGAAGGAATTTTTGCTGCGATCAAATTTAAGAGAATTATGGCCTTTGTTAATTTTTTCACTATATACCATAAAGAAATTTTGTGAACGCAACTCCTCTTAAACCGGATGGCAGATTTTGCTTAAACTTACAGGGAAGAACAACCTTAATGTGTAGATGGTAGTAAAGGAAGGAATTTTTGCTGCGATCAAATTTAACAGAATTATGGCCCTTTGTTAATTTTTTCACTATATACCATAAAGAAATTTTGTGAACGCAACTCCTCTTAAACCGGATGGCAGATTTTGCTTAAACTTCCATAAGATTGACAGAACTGTGGCGTGTGGGGGCATCCGTGTCCTATGGACACATTTCTAGTTTTATCTTTACATTTACCAATGTTTCTGGTGCTAATGGCAGGAATAGTATGTTACAGTCTTTAATGTGGTGTTCAGATACATGTAAACAAAACTTACTGTGATTCCTCAAAGTTAGTAGTTTCTACCTCCATTCACACCAGTTCTCATTTATTGGTTAATATCTAAGATATTTGATATGTTGTTACCATCCAGAGACCTGTTTTATAGGAATGCATTTAATAACTGGTGCTAAGGGTTTAGATGGTATTGCAGGGTAATTAAATTTTGTTTTCTTCTGGTTTTCAGTTTATTTTATTTGTCTATATGTTATATAATTATAAATATTTTTCAATCTGATACAAATATTTCTATAAATATAACTGGCATATTAAGGTAAAAGCGTAATAGAATTATAATTTATAAATCTATTTTTGTTAAAAGAAGAGTTTAATAGTATCCGTGACCTATGATAAGTCGCAGTTAAATTGTCAAAACTTTAACGAAATAAAATTAAAGAAAGGAGAACTTGTTTGTACCAATTCTAATTATCTAAAACAGCATGACTCCATGAGCACCATTAATGTAATATTATGCTGTGGTATGTTTGAAGTGCTATTTATGATAAAATTAATGGCCATTTAAGCATATTTATAACTGTAATTGCTTTTTAACATGTATTAGTGTATAAATCTGATTAAAGGTTAGTTAATGGAAATAAATTGTACTGTGGTTTATGATATAACTGGGGACATACAGGAATGGTACACAGGATAATGATTTAGAATACTGGTGTAGTGAATAATATATCACAATAGAAGTTTATATATGATACAAGCTGAATCAATCATGCCATGACTTGATAATTTCTACTAGTTTATTTGTCCAAAGAAAGTTATTATATTGAACTAATTGATCTATAGTAATGTTTTAGGAAAGAGCTCTACAAATCTGCAATTATGTGAGACAATGCCATAAGTTGTTAAAACATTAGGACATTTAGCCACTCTTCTTATCATTTTAAAGCAATTGAGCTTCACTGTAACCAGTAGCACCTTAAACAAATTTCTTCTCATGATTTAAATACTGCTATAACTGGACGTAGGGATGGGAGATGCATCACACTTTTGATTGTCACTCATGATGAAACTCTGTTAAACAAAGTCTGCCATTGTTGATTTTCCACAAAATCTTTCAAGAGCCCTTTCATCATTTTTTTCTTCTTAGATGATTGAAGTGACAAATATAGCTAACTTTGAGCTATTGGCCAATGTTATACATTAGGTAGCCTTAATATTATCATATTAATTAGCCAGTGTACTCAGAATGGCAACTAAGGTTCAGTCAATGCTTTTGGTCTGACATTCTTGTTATTCAGTTGAAGAAAAGCAATGAATGCAAGTCGGTTGATAGATCTCATTGAGTAGAAGTGCAGTGCAAAGAACAGTAACTCTGCCTTGAACACTTTGAACATTGTCTGGGACATAACTCTTAAACTACAAAAGATATACTTTTCTGTGTCCAAAACCTAGTCGGGGTGCATCACCCAGTTCAACCGGCCCTTGTTATACAGATAACTCATAATGATGATAACTATTTTCTTGTGTGTTTATTTACAGCAAGAGGAGTTGATAGGTCAGTTACAAGAGCAACATTTCCAGCAGTACATGCAACAAGTCTATCAGCAGCAGCTGCTTCATCAGCAACAACAGTATCAGCAGTTACAGGCCATGCAAGCCGCACAGAAGGGGGAGCAGGCTGAAACCAACCCGCCACAAACTAATGGACAGGCTCCACCATCAAATATACAAACCACCATAACTGCTACACCCCTCCTTCAAAATGGTCCACTCCCACCCCCAGTTAAGACAGAGAATTCAGAAAACAATACAGATGACACTAAGGAAGCAGAAGAAGGTATTTTTTTTTATTAAAAACAATTGTATTTGAGGTGAAAAAAAACAACAAAAAACACTGAAAATAATTTTTGGCAACACTGGATATCTTAATGGATTATCATTAATACTGTCATTGTAAAAGGCAATATAAAAAAGAACATGAAAACATATTTTAGATATTTTTCCAGGGTTTGAAAATATAGACAGTTAAGTAAGATAACTCTCTTTCCATTCCACTCTTTACTCAAACACCAGAATAAAGTAGAGAAGAAACTTAATATCCAACTTTATGCCTATCTTCTTGTTTTTGGTAATAAACATTTAGATATAATCTGCAAGACATCTCAAAATGCTTTATCATAGTAGACATACATATATTTTATCATAAACTTTGGTTATATCCTTGTAAACATCTGAATTCATCACTTAAAACAATTGCTTATATTTGTTTTAAAAATCTGGGAATGTCCATGCAAATTTCTTGTTATGCCTATGTAAACATCTGGTTATATCCTTGTAAACTTAAGGTTATATCCTTCTAAATATCTGGTTATATGCTTGTAAATAATTATCAGGTTATATCCTTGAAAACATCTGGTTATATCCTTCTAAATGTCTGGTTATATGCTTGTGAAATTCTGGTTATATCCTTGTAAATATCTGGTTAATATAGTCTTGTAAACATCTGGTTATATGCTTGTAAACATTTGGTTATATCATTGTAAAGATCTGGTTATATGCTTATGAATATCTAGTTATATCCTTGTAAATATCTGGTTATATTCTTGCAAACATCATATTCTGGTTATATAATTGTAAACATCTGTTTATATCCTTGTAAATATCAGGTTATATCCTTGTAAATACCTGGTTATATCCTTGTAAATATCTGGTTATATTCTTGTAAATGTTTGGTTATATCCTTATGAACATCAGGTTATATCATTGTAAACATCTGGTTAATATAGTCTTGTAAACATCTGGTTATATGCTTATAAACATCTGGTTATATCATTGTAAAGATCTGGTTATATGCTTATGAATATCTAGTTATATCCTTGTAAATATCTGGTTATATTCTTGCAAACATCATATTCTGGTTATATAATTGTAAACATCTGTTTATATCCTTGTAAATATCAGGTTATATCCTTGTAAATACCTGGTTATATCCTTGTAAATATCTGGTTATATTCTTGTAAATGTTTGGTTATATCCTTATGAACATCAGGTTATATCATTGTAAACATCTAGTTAATATAGTCTTGTAAACATCTGGTTATATGCTTATAAACATCTGGTTATATCATTGTAAAGATCTGGTTATATGCTTATGAATATTTAGTTATATCCTTGTAAATATCTGGTTATATTTTTGCAAACATCGTATTCTGGTTATATAATTGTAAACATCTGTTTATATCCTTGTAAATATCTGGTTATATCCTTATGAACATCAGGTTGTATCCTTGTAAACATCTGGTTATATCCTTGTAAATATCTGGTTATATCCTTATGAACATCAGGTTATATCCTTGTAAACATCTGGTTATATTCTTGTAAATATCTGGTTATATCCTTGTAAACAGCTGTTTATATCATTGTAAACATCTGGTTATATTCTTGTAAACAGCTGTTTATATCATTGTAAACATCTGGTTATATCCTTGTAAACATCTGGTTATATTCTTGAAAACATCTGGTTATATTCTTGTAAACATCTGTTTATATCATTGTAAACATCTGGTTATATCCTTGTAAACATCTGGTTATATTCTTGTAAACATCTAGTTACATCATTGTAAACATCTGGTTATATCCTTCATAACATCTGATTTTCCTTGTTAACATCTGGTAATATCCTTGTAAACATCAGGTTATATAATTATAAACATAAGGTTATATGCAACATCAGGTTAAGTACTTGTGAAAAATTCGGTTACATCTATGTAAACATTTGATTATCGACATGTAAAAAAAGAAACTATATATCTTGTAAAAATTTATATTTTGTAAACAACTAGATATCTTTGTCAGCATCTGATCATGTCCTTGTAAACACTTGGATATAATCATATCCTTGAGATTTATAGTTTGTGATTCCTTCACTAAGACAAACCATTATTGCCTGTTTATTTATAACAGCCATTAGTAAAAACAAATTGGTCATACAGCTTGAAAGAAGGCCCCATCTGAACCAGACAAAAGAGATGATAATTAAAGCAATAATTCTTCCAAGCCTAAAATAAAAAAAAGGAAATTCTGTCTCAGTATGATAATCAGTGGTGAAGGTCTCGGTATCTCACTAACGGACCAGAATGTCAATCAGATATTCAATGAAATGATCAGCGTGCTGAGATTTCTTCATCAACAGATTGCCCACTTACATTAAATCACGCATATTTGATCTCGTAAATGGTCGTCTCTAGACAATACTGTTTTGATGCCTCCTAATCAGAATGTAAAGACAGTGTATTATATAACGAGAACACAGGGAGCAAAGTGCCATATATAAAGTGATAACATTAAATGTAGAAATTCAGATATCTCAGACTATAGTGAAGGAATATTTTAATGGTCACCAGGCATGCATTGTAACTGTCTCTCTCCATCCATCCATACAAGGTTATTCATGCAAATGAATTTACTTTAAGTTCTATCTGTACCAATGACTTCATAATTCACTTAAAAAGTTATAGAATGTTCATGGTCTGGGCAAGTTATAAAACTGTGTTATTCATTTTTCATAAATTATTTCCTTTTTTTAGCACTGATATTATTTTTATGGTTAAGTTGAATTCTTCCTTTACCAATGGCGTCATACTATAGACTTGTATTTAGCAATACAAAGTTTGGCATCTTTTATTTGATTTGATGCATGAAAATTTCTACGAGTGCCAATGATTCTTTACTGAAGAATATCTACTGATACAGGCCAGTAAGTTCTATCTTAACTTATATTAGTACCAATTGGCTTCATACAATACATACTTTCTGTTAATACAATTAAGGTCCATAATCCTGCTTGGAAAATTACACACCATTTTCCCCCTAATAACTCGCATTAATGTATCTTGAGTTGAATATTTTTCATCTTCATCAATTACCAATGATATGTCGCTTTACTTTAGCAGTTTCTCTTTCCATAACTGAGACAATTTGTAAACCTTTTTGACAAATTGGTAACTGACAAGAAACAGTGACAGATATGTTTTTGAGCATTTTGATATCATATGGCATAGTAATACAATTAAAGTAATGTCATACAGAAGAGATAGGTTATTGAATATTGTTGAAAATCAACACAAATTTAAATGATTATAGACTAAATTCTAGCTTATACAAGAGGTCGTTTTAAAGTAGTCTCATTGCTGACATTGTAGATATAAATATACAGATAAAATAAAGCACGTTACTTGTAGAACTTTGACTAAAATTATAAGCTGACAGGCATCAAAATAATGTCTGTTATATATGGAAACAACACGGTTTTTTATGGATGGCTTTCTACCATTGGTACGAATATTGAAGGATTGAAGCTTGCTGGAGGGGAACATATTGTCATATCTGATGTTAAATTGAAATGATGACATGCCACATAAATATTTCTATAATTAATGAACCAGGAAGTTCACTTGAAGATAGATTTTGCTTACTCAGACAATTTTCTTTGCTATTGCGCTGAATGTAATCAGCAGCGGCTTTAAAATGTCACTGATATGTGGTGGAATAAAGCAGTTATATTTAAAATAAGTAATGTCAGCAGAAACTGGCCTTTGATAACATATCAACAATATAGCTTGGTCTTCAGTCTTTATTGCTTTAATTTAAAGAAATATAGTTTTTAGCTTGATTATTTAAAACATAGGGAGAGATATTGTACTCACCCAAGCGTCTGTGTCACACTTTAAGTTTTTGCATGCAAGTTGGTATGTCCAAAACTACTAAAGGGTATGGGTTGAAACTTTACACACTTATTGAGAGCATAATATGAGGTCAGTATCCAAGGTCCATATCTCTTATTTAGATTTTGACAGAATTATGGCCTTATTCTCTTTTTTTACTATCAAGCACTGAGAATAGTCTTACTGACAGCTTTTGTTCTTTCTTCAATATTTACTGTCCTTTTTTAATTGAAATGGACATTTTTAATTATTTTTAAGACATTCTGATTAATTCAGATCTGACCTTGACCTTTAAATGACATTGACCATCAAGGTCAAATATGAAATTTGAATTTTGTTTGTTACCAAAAATATTTTGTATTGTAGGATTACTCTTTGCTATAATATTCTTCTTTGATGTGTTTGATTTTAGAAATAAGAAAAACTCAAACATGTCCCCCGCTAGGTGATGGCTCTTGTTTTACACTGTCATAGTCATAATTTAAGATAATTTGTTCACTTGATGGACAATTGTAGTTTTTAAGATTTAAAAAATGTTTTTTCCCGTTTATCATATAAATGATAACCAGCTAATTTCAGCTCTTGCGACCTTGAGCCTGCCAAAGATTGAGCCAGCCAGAATGTGGGTAACTAAGGAAATTAATGAATTTAAAGATGATATGAGGAGAAATAAGGATAATATGATTCATATTGGTTCCCTAGCAACAGCCACTGTGAGTCATGCATGGGCTGTTAATTATGTCTGTTGTATATATTGTACCTACATAATGATATTTTTCCATTTCATTCTCAGAACCCTTTATTTGTAAAAAAAGCAAATATGTGTACAAAAAGACAAGAAAATTCTGTATAATTGCTGTTGGTTTATTAGACCCTCTGACATGTCCTCTTCAATGTCTGGTCAAAGACAATTTGCGTAGCACTATTCGTCCTTCATCACATCTTTAAATGGTGTACATGGAAAAGTTAGCAATAGCTGGGGGGAAAATTGGTCATTACTGGTAGAGAAACGAGACTTTCAATATATAACTGTCTTGTGATAGACGTCTGAAAAAAATCAGACAAATTGTAACAAATTGGCTCTATACCTAACCAAACAAACATTTACACATCTATATAGGAACACAAGTTAATTCACTTGGAATGTTTTATTCACAAGTTTGACTTTAAGGTCTAGTTATACTGTAATGTCTCAGTCTGTAGACTTTGATTGTCACGTTTTGGTCATATAATTTACAGATTGCTACATACAACTTTCACTTCTATACAGTTTATTATTATAAGGTCAGACTGATTGATCTCTGGCAAATGTCTATTCAAAACTTATGATGTGCTAAAGAAGTTTGTACCCATAAGGTTATTTGTTTCTTGTGGTGTGTTTCTGGAGAAATACAACCCACTTAAGTATTAATGGTACAGTATTTTCTCTTTAACTGAAACACGGTGCTATCCCCATAGGGGTTTGTCTTGATTTTAGTGCTAGGAAATCAGAACTTATTTGTTATGTTGATATAAATAGGGGAGATCTGAGGATGAAATAGAAAGATATTTTGTAGCTTATAGCAATTGTATATAACTCTCTGTCATTACCAAGTTTGTAATTAAGTCTCATTTCTATAAATGGTACTGTAATTAAATGAATTCAAAAGATGAAGAGATTTGTTTTTCATCACATTGTACATGTATTTATAGATTATATTATGATAAAAAAAGAATAAAATGTTTTGATTGCAAAGGTAAAAACTAAACAAGAATATTTTCTCTTGTGTTATTGGAAGTATTTATAGCTTTTTATAATAGATAAAAACAGAACTGAGCAATCAAAATTAGAAAAGGATCAAATCAAATGTTGATGTGACTTCTTAATACTTAAGCTTTTGATTTTAATATGGTTTTAATTATCTTGAAATTGCAGTTATTACCCCTATTACATGACAGAGAGCTCTGTGCAATTGCACTCATTTAGTAATTTTATTTTGATATCCAATCCCTGGTAGAATGTTGAGTATTGCAGTGAGTGTTGTAACTAAAGTATATATGGTTGAATGTAGTATATTTGTTGTTGTTGTAGAAGATGATTTACCTCCCATTGCGGCTGCCTCTATGTGGACAAGAAAAGATGTTAAAGAATTTAAAGAGTCTTTAAAAAAGGACAAGGATTCTGTGATAAAAGTGGGCTCGGGAGAAACTGTAACTGTAAGTCCTAAGTTCAGTTATCATGTTAACTCATTTGCCTGTTGTATTTGAAATTGCCTGAAGTTCCAGCATAACGTCTAAATTCTTTTCTAGAGAATAAATATTTGATGAAGATTGTCAAAACAGGTTACTTATGGGAATAATCATTTTATCGTTGAATAAAACTTAAAATGTTATTGTTTCACTGTCATTTAATTAATCATCTGTTCTAGAATTGTTTTTGTCTACTTCATAGGACACTTATAAAAGAAAAAAAAGCTTTGTAAACAGCTTTAAAAAAAGACATAGGATCTACTGGAGCTTTTTCAAAGTTTTCTTATAAGGGTCAAACTTAGTCATTCATCTACTTTTTGGAGTGTTTGTGTTTATCCAGATGGACATAATGTTTAAATAAATGCATAAATAAAGGCTGCTAAAAGACAATTTATTAAAAAAATAGACTGTCAGAAATTTTTAAAATTTAGGCCTTCTCATTGGATGAAAAAGTGGGGCAAAGACTGAAAAAATTTAAATCCATACATTAACAGATAGAGGCAATGCATTTGTTATATATGTTGTGTGGTTATCCTTTGGTGTACAGTACATTTTGTAATTATTGTCTTAATTGTCCCTGCCTTATTTTTATTTGTATCTGTATCAGTAGACCATAGACAATGATGAATGTCAGCTGTTGGATGCATCGTTATTTCTATAGACATTGATTGTTAAAAACTATTTAAAAGATGTTTTGATCAAACTAATAGCTACATACATGTAGGACTTGTCTGAACAAAAAATCTAATTCACTTTGAGATAACTCTAAAACAGGGTTGATAACCCTAAAGATTTTCACGGAAAATATTTATGTTATATTTTAAGTTCATGTAGAGGTTTAGATAAATTCTATAAATACTAATTGTTTCTAAGGATATGTAGAAATTATAGATTGATTGTGGAAATAGTTTGTCCTTGGTCAACATATGATTTCATTTATTACGTCTTTTTGACACAATGAAATTAAAATTGTGGTTCCTTAAAGTGCATTTAATTGAAATTACTTGTACACATAATATTAATACTTTTAACATATGAAGAGTTTATATAAAATTAAGAATTTGCCATAAATCTACCAAGGAAGGTTGTAATATTATTTTATACAAAAGGAAAAATAAGTTAGTTTAACTTATTTTATAAAAAGTAATTATAAAAAATTGTTTGTAAAAAAATAATATTAATTGCAGACTTAGTTTTATTTACAATTTATTTATTTATTTTCATATCTTAAATAGTTTTTCACCATGTCTGTATTTTAACCATGTTCTCCATGGCCATCTACATGTTTTTCATTTTCTGTATGACAGGTTCGTGTTCCTACCCATGAAGATGGTTCATGTTTATTTTGGGAGTTTGCTACAGACTATTATGACATAGGTTTTGGTGTATTCTTTGAATGGACTATAGCTCCAAGTAATACAGTCAGTGTTCATGTCAGTGAATCTAGTGATGAGGAAGAGCTTGAAGAAGAAGGTAAAAATAGTTGTTATAGTTTATAGTATCCATAGCAACTGCAAAATTACTTCTTTCTCATATTTTTTGTGCATGTACAACTATGTATGTGTGACAGTGTGTACAAGAAACATACCTTACTCATAGCTTTTTCAAAATCTAGACATACTGAAGTGAAATTAAATGAAATTGGTTGCAAATTAAAACCTCATATTTTCTTGTATATACTTAAATTTTGAGCTTTATTTTACATACAGTATAATCTAATTATCTTAGAATATTGTACATATCAAATGCTTGTAAATTTTCTTTTAATTCATTTTGCTTATTTTTAATTATCAAATTATAAAGGAATGAATAAAATAAGTTCTCTTAAAGGATAGGCAAAACTGATAAATGATATTGTTAAGGGTGTATAAAATGATTGTATTGGATTGCCCCACTTCTGAAAATAGTGTGTTTGATAAACTATTTAGATTGTTATTTATGTGATATTTCAGAAGGGAAGGCAAATGATGTAGAAAAAGGTGGCGATAAGAGAGATGATAGACCTCCTGTTGATGAAATCATTCCAGTGTATCGACGAGACTGTCATGAGGAAGTTTATTGCGGGAGTCACGCTTACCCTGGCCGCGGAGTTTACCTTCTTAAATTTGACAATTCATATTCATTATGGCGGTCAAAGACTCTATATTACAGAGTGTACTATAGCCGGTGAAATAATTAATATATATATATATTGTCCATAAATATAACTATTATTATTGTAAGCTGTTTATATTTTAATGATTATAATGTGTTAAATATATTGTGGTGTACTTCAAACTTTGGGATGGAAGCATTTTTCACAAATGCTGCAAGTATCCACATGAGGGGCAATAGTTATACATGGTTACCATAGCAACTGTAGATGTAGAACTCTCATTTCTATAAATGACGAACAAACAGTGTATCAGACGCTACGACTTGAATTGTTGACAAAATCCGTCATCAGATTCGTATTTGTGATTTGTATAAATGAAATTCTTTTTTAGTGTGACAGTACAGGACTTTATAAATTTGACTAAAGAAGACATAAATTTGTGTTGTATTTATTAATGCATGCTTACATTGTCATGGAGAGAATCTGTTTCATAGTCATTTTAGTCTCATCTATATTTTTGTGCATTGAAGAATTTGTGAAGAAAACTGTAAAATTCCTGATCATATACATGTATAACAGGGGCTTAAACATCATTTATGTACCATTTTACCTGTATCAGTGTATTACAGAAATTGTTTAGTCATTTGAAGTGTACAATCACTGGTTGTTAAAATAGTGTAAAGTTGAATCATAGGCTATAAGTATTAACTGTCATGTGTTAATGTAGGACTGTTTCAGTGATTATATTTCATTTATACAGATGACACAAAGTTTTACCATTGTTACTGTTAAACTATGAAATCAGAAATAAAGAGATTCTCTTATAGTTTTACAATAATTTGAATATTAAAGAAATGCTGTATAATGCTTAGAGATATATATACTAAGAAATTTTGTTAAACCGTTAGAAATATTATTTTTATACCCTGTACAAAAGAAACAAAGTATGAATTATTTGTTTACTACATTTGGTTTCTTAGTCAAAAAGTATTCTATATGTTTTGACTTTTTTCTAATAAGTTATTTACAATGAATAATTTTTGAATTCTAGGATAAGAAAAAAAAAATGATAAAAGAAATATATGAGTGACTTTTAATAATCAATCAAGTGTTAAAACTAGACACAAGAATTTTCGATTAATAAGAGTATATTTATTGCGCAGTAAATAGTAAAATAAGCAACAGACATTACTATTTCATTTGAACATTTAACTGGAAAATTTTAAAGAAAGAAAAGTTTATATACGGGGTGTGTCTGTACATGGGACAAGCATTTTAAAAATGCTATCTGTATTTTATCTTGCCTGCTTGTAGAAACATTGAGCATCATTTGTAGTGTGTAGTCTAGTTTTGCTTCCATTATCAACATTGCTTACTTTATGATAGTTGAAATATATGATTGTATAATTGTTAATGTTTGTGTATATAGAATGGTCAGAATTTGTTGGTGTCATTTTAAGGTTTTTATTTTTACCAATCTGCTCATTGTCAAAGAACATATTGACAATATTATTTGTTAGATATCCAGCAAAAGTCAAGGGATTTTTACTACACATTCAATTATCATTATATCGAGTTAGATTAAAATTTTATAATTGCTCAGAACATATATGTGCCTTTAGAAAAACCTATACTGTAAGTAATGAAGAAAATATTATTTTAAACATGTTAGTATGAACATAAAAATTGCAGAAAAACAAAACCATTTGTATTCATTTAAATAAATTTATTCTCGTTTAAGGTTTTGTAATTGGAAAATATTATTGCAGGATACAGCTATTGAAGAAAAACTTTAGAAAAAAAAAACTTAGATTGTTTTATTTTTCAGAATAAACTATATCATAGAAAAATCTGAGCTTACAAATAGTTTAACATATATGCTTTTAGTTAAACCTTCAAGTAAATAAATTGAATTTATATTTATATTGTGGGTATTGTAGATAAATTGGGACTTTTCAATTAGTTATATTAGGTACAATTTTGTTGGTTACATAAATTGAATAACTTTATTAAATTAGTTATATGCTAGATTTTTTATTGAATATACTGCTTTAACACAGTCAATAGTTTTACACTATGTAATTAGTGGGAATATATTGTAATGGATGGAAAGATAATCTAGAAGTTTTATTTTCCTGATTCCTCAGATTTGGTTACAAGCAAACTTAGAATAGATTCTTGGCAAACCAGACTAATATCACTAGCAAAAGGCATGATTTTCATGCAATGTGGCCATGTATTTAAAATGTACAAATATTGATTAAATTGATTAATTGTCTCTTATGATATGTTTACATAAAACTTACAAATTTTTTTTTACACTTGAGGGAAATCATTTAAACCCTTACCTACTTAGCTACAAAACTTCATTTATCTTACATTATTATACCATGTATATCTCAAAAGGAGCTTTAGACACCTGTATAGATTTAGACGAGGGTAAAAAATTACTTACATTATATCTACATGCTCTTTGTTATAAATAAATGAGAAATCCATCAATATATTGTGTTTGATCACATCAAAAGAAAGCCGAGCATCTTATTGATTTGTGATGAATGGTGTTGTCATAATACATGTTCTTTCTAAGACTTAGTTTCATCTGCCTTTATAGAGGATGATATATATACTGTCTGAGAGAGTTGATTGATTTATATAATTACAATCATTTGGATTAGACAGTACATATATTATTATTTTAGCAGAATCTCAAATTAGATTATTTCTATTATCAAACTTCTAGCGATTTAACTTTTGGTTCAAATCTGGTCAGGATCAATCTATTGTTTCCTTAAACAAAAACTTTACACGCATTGCTTAGTACTAATTGGCTACAGGAATGGATCAGATAATGTGTCTATAAGCTGATAGCTTCCAACACAAACTTGATAAATTCTGTATAAACTAAAAGCACTAGTTTTAAGCCAAGCCAGTATTTTTACATTCTGTCAAATCATTCAGTCTGACCTAACATTATATTGTTTGTTACTCATTTTTTGTGTTTTTATATTCTTTATATTAACAGTGGACAGTGCCACAAATAAAGCAAGGCAAATCTGATACAGAATGATAATACGGAGAGTTAATAAATCTATACATAACCATTGACCTCTTTATATAGGCAGACAGTCTTCTCATGTTTTACTATCAATTAAGAGAAAGCTTGTTGTTGCCATGGAAACCAAATAACTGTTTATGTATGACATGTTGTTACATGAAGTGATCATTAAATCGTAGAGCTGTATCAAGTTACAGTTTATTGATATTGAAGTCAGAGGATACTCTGTCATTCTTTATTTAACCTGTTTTCTAATTTGAAGGTTAATGATGACCATATTAGCAAGGTTAATTGGAAAATTGACTTTGACATATTTTATCATTAGACCTTGGTGACAACATTTTCTTTGCGGATACTTGCTGACACTGTTATAAATAAAGTTTAAAATTCCATCTTTACTTTTGATAAATTGATTATTTTTAAATAACAAAAACAATGTATTTTACAAATGTGTTAAAACTTACATTTATTCTAACCGTACACACATAGTTTGGAGTGGTTATACTTGAAGCAACTTGGCAGTTGATTGGCCAATCTCCCCGCACATGTGAATTTCTCTCCTTTATAAATAAGCTATTGCCTTCTGAAGTTTTTAGGCAATTCAAGCAGTATGTAACAGATTGGGTACAATTTTGCGTGTTTATATTACATTATTCAAAAAGTGTTTAAAGATGGACATGCCATCAGTATTGCTTTGCAATGGGGGTAAACAGTGAAACAGCTCAGTTAAAGTGAGTAAAATAGGCACAATATTGAAAATATGATTAAGAAAAAACAAGCTGAGATCCCAGAAGCCTATGTATGATATGCGTAAAGGAATTCAACCTTGCTTGTATGGTTACAACAATAATAATGTTAATTATGTTTATTTGCTTGAAAAAAAGTTATTGACTCAAAATCTCATTGTTGTTTACACCGTATAGAGAAACAATGTATTGCCTAAGAACCATCATTTTGTTTTGCATACTTCTGTAAGCATTGTCTTTTATTATTGTACTTATTTTGATTTTGCCTGGAGCATAACTTTATGTCAGTATGATAATATCGACAGGAAACTTCAAAATACCCTGCACAGATAAAGTGGTGTGTTGGGGTATCTAAGCCAGGACATTGGCCATTCTAGTAAATGCTATTTTGGGCAGCTCTTTGCACTCACTGCACGGGTTTATTAAGAAATCTAAGATTTTTACAGTGTTTTTCATTTGATATCCTACCTATCAGTTAATATCAGTTAATTTTTATGCACACTTAAATGTGTAGATTATTACAACCTGTAAATTACAGTTTTACTATCATTTAGGCTAAATGCATGAATTTTGTAGAGTGGAAATGAGATTTTACCACATCTTCTCATAACTGAATATGACTTTAATGTTGAGTGTGCATGAAATTTTCCAGTATTCTGTGAATTGTCAGTAATTTCATCCAACATTGATTACGTGATAATCAATAAATTCTGCTGTAGAAGATTGGCAAAAAAGTCACGGTTATTTTGAATAACAAGATGGATTTTAATTCTGTTGCACAAATGAATGTGGGGTTTCAATTACGATAATGATAATACTTATTTTTTTCTAATTCTATCTGGTGATTTTGAGTACTGAAATTATATTTTATGGAGAGAATCCCTGTTATTTCATGGTGAAAATTCTTAATGAATTATTTTTTATCCTGTGAATTCTGAATATTAACAATAAAACACCTCAGCCTTGGAGCAGTAATTTTAGTTATATACATTTGTATAATTATGAACTTTGTTAAAATTTACAGTTACTGTACATGTTTTTAAAATTGTTATTTCTAAGTTCTGTATTCTTGTTGGTATTTATAGTAAGTGTTACTCTGTATAAATCCATGTCTTGTTTTGTCATTTCTGAGTATTATTGTTCCATGTTAGAAAAATGTTATTGAATAACTGTGGATAATCATGTTTATTTATACATGAAAAATAAAATAAAGAGCTATGTCATTTACCAAACTTTGTTTTCTTGACTTTTTTTACTTTTTCAAAAATTTAAATAGTTAAAAAGTTATGGTACAGTGTGCAGAAAAATTCCTTTGAAGATGAATTTCAAATTGATGATTATGTACTAAGGTATTAAACTTACCGGTAAAAGACAGAATAATGTATCAGTAACGGAGCCTGTGACATTTTCAATTTTGCTATGTGGAGCTTTCTTTTATATGGATTCTGTTTTCATCTATTTTGATGTTAGATCCCGCTGTAATAAAATTTTCTAGACCCACCTGAAGCTAGATGGAGCAAAATATGCTACCTTTTGTAACTCCTTGCATTAATAGAGAATATTTAATGAATGTAGATTTAATACTAAATATATTGAACAAGCTGAATGAAATCATACCATATGAGCCTGTTTTGTTCAAGGACTTAATGAATTTAGTTTTGAATCTACAAGAATATGATATTTCTTTTATCACATTTCCAGAATAAGAATGATTAACATATAAAATTTGTCATTGAAGTGCCTATAGTGTAATGCTAGAATGAGCACACTTTATTTCTATGTTTATATACACCGCAAATGAAATCATGTCCAATTGTTTTTACACTAGTGTGATGTTTTTAGCTCGACTATATGAAGTATTATGGAGAGCTGTCCTACTGGCCCTGGCGTTGGCGTCCACTTCCAGATTTCAGATTAAAGTTTTTGTGCAGTAAAATTTTTAACAATAACTTTTTCATTTTTTAAGGTATCAACTTCAAATATATGTTCCTTATCATCAACCACATTTTATGTGATAAGGCTTATAACTCTAGCACCAATATTTTCAGATTGATCTCCCCTTGAACTTAGAATTTTATTAAAAAAAAATTATTTTTTACTGTTATTTATTTATTTCTTAAAGCAGCAGGCCTCCAGATTCATGTTAATTTTCATAAAAATTTTGTAAATGTATTTAAAAGTGAAATAATGTGAGGTGAACAAATAAAGTAATTTACATATTGCAATTGGCACTTACAATCCACGAAAATTACCAAAAAGTGGTTAACATCTGCAAAACGGCCCTTACCGCGTTAGTACCGCAGTAGAAATATGGTTATAAAATACTGCAAAATCAGTGTTAAACCGAACATAACATGTAAAATATAACTTGGATAATGAATGTTTTTACCTTTCTTAGAAGTTTAGTGCATTTTTCTCAATATTGATTTTCTTGAAATATTTTGGCACCTCTGGAGGCGTGCAGCTTTAAGGGATCAACTTCATACTTCAAATATAATTATGTTTGTTATCATAAAACCACATGTTATGTGACAAGGTTCATAACTCTAGCACCAATATTGCCAGAATTATCTCGTCATAAACTTTTTTTTTTACTTGAAAAAATGTTTTTACTATAGCTTCTTTAGTTTTAAAGGTATATACCTCAAACTTCAAATACTTATTCCTTATCATCAATTACATCTCATGTGACAAGGTTCATAACTCTTGAAGCAATATTTTCAGATAAATCTCTCTTTGAACTTAGGATTTTCTTTAAGAAATATTGTATTAACTTCTTTACTTTTTAAGGTATCTACTTCAAACTTCAAATATATATTTCTTATCATTACACACATGTTGTGTGACAAGATTCATAACTCAAGCGTGACTATTTCTAAAATTATTCCCCCAATGTTATTTTTTTACTATAACTTAATACATAATTGATTTTTCTTTCATAGTTTTGTCTTCCTTACCGAGTCCAGTATTTTATTAGTCAAGCTTTGCTGTCACCTGTGACAGCTCTTGTTATTAAATGGCTCTATTACACTCCTGCACTGTGGTTTATGTGATAAATGTTAATAAATATTGCTAGCGATTCTGTAATATCATCCAGTTTTCAAATCTTTCTAAAAAATTGTCGCCAATGACAAGGCACTTTTGATAGTTTGGAGGAGAATCAATCACTTCCAGTGCTTGCAAACTTTCCATGTGACAAAGTATAAAATTGCCCATTTAAAAGAAAAGAACAATAACAGATTTTCTGCTATTGATATTGGACTATTACCACTGCTGGAATATGTTTGGTATAAATGTCAGATTGCACTGGAACTAAGGTAGTTTATTCTGTTCTCAATTTAATACTATATTCTTTCATCCTTTGGATTTGATAATAGTAGCATTGTTGCAATTCACAAATTTACTTTTTAAACAATTTTTAAGAAATAAGATTTCATTACTTCATTTATGATGAGCCTATTAAACTGCAATATGTTGAGTGAGCTATTGTTGCCACTATCTGTCCTATTGTCATGTTAAAATTAACACCTGCATCTGTTATATAAGTCTGTAAGCAAAAACTGATCTTTTCATTATCGATAAAAATACCTTAAAACTTCATGAAAATTTTAAAATACGAAGAACATGGTATAGAAATAAACTTTTCTTCATTTGTATGTAATATATCAAGATAAATGAGTGTTATAGCAACATGTAAATTATACAGATATAATGTACAACTTAACCTCATTAGTTTTAATGTTCTACATGACTGGGGCAGTGTTTAATAAACCACATAACCTATATTGTGTTTTTTCACATTACCTATACAATATCTTTTAACCACATAACCTTTACAGTGTAAAAAAACCAAATGAGTATAAATGAACCACATAACCAATGCAGTATTAATGTACAGTGTTTGATATACCTCTACCTGTACAGTGTTAACATACTACATCACCTGTACAATGTGAACATCGCTGATATGTTAAGTTTTAATGTACCACATAACCTTTACAGTGTTAGTGCACCATGTACCACATAACCTATACATGTTAGTGCACCATGTACCACATAACCTATACAGTGTTAGTGCATCATATACCACATAACCTATAAAGTGTTAGTGCACCATGTACCACATAACCTATACAGTGTTAGTGCACCATGTACCACATAACCTATACAGTGTTAGTACACCATGAAACATAACTTATACAGTGTTAGTGCACCGTGTACCACATAACCTATACAGTGTTAGTGCATCATGTACCACATACTTACACAGTGTTAGTGCACCATGTACCACATAACCTATACAGTGTTAGTGCACCATGTACCACAAAACCTATACAGTGTTAGTGTGCCATGTACCACATAACCTATACAGTGTTAGTGCATCATGTACCACATAACCTATACAGTGTTAGTGCACCATGTACCACATAACCTATACAGTGTTAGTGTGCCATGTACCACATAACATATACAGTGTTATTGCACCATGTACCACATAACCTATAGTGTTAGTGTGACATGTACCACATAACCTATACATGTTAGTGCACCATGTACCACATAACCTATACAGTGTTAGTGCTTCATGTTCCACATAACCTATACAGTGTTAGTGCACCATGTTCCACATAAACCTATACAGTGTTAGTGCACCATGTACCACATAACCTATACAGTGTTAGTGCACCATGTACCACATAACCTGTACAGTGTTAGTGCACCATGTACCACATAACTTATACAGTGTTAGTGTACCATGTACCACATAACCTGTACAGTGTTAGTGCACCATGTACCACATAACTTGTACAGTGTTAGTGTACCATGTACCACATAACTTGTACAGTGTTAGTGCACCATGTACCACATAACTTGTACAGTGTTAGTGCACCATGTACCACATAACTTATACAGTGTTAGTGCACCATGTACCACATAACTTATACAGTGTTAGTGTACCATGTACCACATAACTTATACAGTGTTAGTGCACCATGTACCACATAACTTATACAGTGTTAGTGTACCATGTACCACATAACTTATACAGTGTTATTGCACCATGTACCACATAACTTATACAGTGTTAGTGTACCATGTACCACATAACTTGTACAGTGTTAGTGCACCATGTACCACATAACCTGTACAGTGTTAGTGCACCATGTACCACATAACCTATACAGTGTTAGTGCACCATGTACCACATAACTTATACAGTGTTAGTGTACCATGTACCACATAACTTATACAGTGTTAGTGCACCATGTACCACATAACTTATACAGTGTTAGTGTACATGTACCACATAACTTATACAGTGTTAGTGCACCATGTACCACATAACCTGTACAGTGTTAGTGTACCATGTACCACATAACTTATACAGTGTTAGTGCGCCATGTACCACATAACCTATACAGTGTTAGTGCTTCATGTTCCACATAACTTATACAGTGTTAGTGTACCATGTACCACATAACCTGTACAGTGTTAGTGCACCATGTACCACATAACTTATACAGTGTTAGTGCACCATGTACCACATAACCTGTACAGTGTTAGTGCACCATGTACCACATAACTTATACAGTGTTAGTGTACCATGTACCACATAACTTATACAGTGTTAGTGCACCATGTACCACATAACTTATACAGTGTTAGTGTACCATGTACCACATAACTTGTACAGTGTTAGTGTACCATGTACCACATAACTTGTACAGTGTTAGTGTACCATGTACCACATAACTTATACAGTGTTAGTGTACCATGTACCACATAACCTATACAGTGTTAGTGTACCATGTACCACATAACTTATACAGTGTTAGTGCACCATGTACCACATAACCTGTACAGTGTTAGTGTACCATGTACCACATAACTTATACAGTGTTAGTGTGCCATGTACCACATAACTTATACAGTGTTAGTGCACCATGTACCACATAACTTATACAGTGTTAGTGTACCATGTACCACATAACCTATATAATGTTAGTGTACTACTTAGCACACCCAGTGTTTGAAATTTATATCACCACATAATCTAAACACTTAATTGAATTAAATTTAAGCTGCAGCAGGATTACCTACCAGAGTAAGCAGTTTTAGGTAGTAAGGGAACTAACTCTTTTGTTCCTAACATAATTTACCGTACAGAGTAAACGTTCTCTGGAGAGCACCTGTTTATAGGCGGCGCTTTACTACTTGACAGCACAGTGTC